CAATCATCGTCAATTCACTAGCTCACTGTTCAAGCAGGTCTTTCCAAAGTAAATTCCAAGGAAAAAGTTATGGTTTGGTGTGCCATCAATAGGACCATGGAATAAATTGCCCATATTTCTTCGAGAAAAATATAACTCCAAATTAGCCATTAAACCTTAGAACTACCAATAAATTTTCACAAAATCAAATTTAGACAAGTCATTTGTCTAAACTGCAGTTTACTTTTGTAGTAGCTGATCCTAGTCGGCAATCCTAGTGGATAAAGAGTTATTCAAAAGTACATCCTTGCTATATTTTTGAACACCCTGTAGTCTGTACGCTCCGAAATCTGATTTAATACTTCAACTCTGATATCATCTAGTGCAATGCGATATGCTAATATTTGATTGTAGGAGACTCTCACTTCGTCCCCAAAAATGAAATATGATGGACCCACTCACAAGAGCGAAAAAAGATACACATTACTGTAGTGTGCTAATGTTTATAAAACATTTTTATGTGCTCGTGCAATGTGTTTATTTTCAAAAACTGTAACATCGCTCAATCAAAGCCTTATCAGCACAACACGCACAATCACATAATATATCATCAACTTGATCTCAGCGCATCATAATAACAACCACTCGCAAGGACTGTTACCGCTCACTTCAGACACACACACACACCCACTACACAGTACCACACACAGCCTGCACAGAGCTCAGCAATCAATTCTAAACGGCTAGCTGATTTTGATAAAATAAAGAAATAACATCGTGATCCGGCGTGATCAATTATTTTAATTGAAGTACAACGGCTGCACCCCTGACTTTTTAACTAAAGATAAGAGACGTATATATTAGGACATTTGTAATCTGATAAAATTTAAAGTTTTGGTGTGTGAATTAAAGCTTGATGTGAGAATTAGTGTGGAAATAAAAGAGATATTTATTTTATTACCTATATCATATATCTTAATTAAGTGACAGTATTATTATTTTAACTACAGATTATGTTATTTCAGTTAGTATCGACTTGAATGTTATGATTGCAGTTTATTTGTATATTATATTGTATTCAATAAACCGGTTTCAAAGCCCTTAAGTGTGGCCCTCGGGTCTTTAAAACATAATTGGTGAGGTCACGTGGTACCGACATGCTTCAGAGGACAGAAAGAGAATTTTAACCACAAGTCTAGATTCTTTTCATAAATATAGACTTGTGGTTACAATTCTGAGTGTTTCATACTATTATATCACAGAATTATCCTGCTGTTGAAATATTGACAGAAAGGAAAGGTGTTTAGAAGTCGAATTGCTACAACTTCAGAATTCAGATTAAATAACAATTGTATAACTTCAGATTGGAGGACGGTCTATGGAAGGATATAGGAATTAAGCTTACTTCACAGCTATACTCTACAAAAGTACCTTCAGGGAATAAGACGTCAACATCAATCTTGTTTATATCAATGATTGTGGACATTACTTTTGTATTCTTTGTAATTTAATTCTCTTACGTTGTATTCTCTTAATACACTGCGTTTGCTAGAATTCTTGTGTGTAAGCTTTAGAACTCTAGATGTCAAACACAGATTTACGGCCAAGTGTCAACCCGGGGTTTGAAGCACGTTATACCAGTTTCAACTTTTATCAGACTGATCCATCGATTTCAGCTATGACATTTTTAGTTCTGATTAAACAAATGGTTTTTATTACATTGTTAATTACATTAAAATACAGTTTGATGTTTAAAACGGAGCATATGAAAGTTTTTTATCTTGTAAAACCTCGCCTAATCGACGAAGTTACAGTCAGATCGAAAATTAGAAATAGCTTATTTTTAAAAGCAGCTGAAAGTGCTATTTTCAGAACCTGGTGGATATTAGTCTAAATATTCGTTGGAATTTATTACACTGACCATGACATAAGATCCAAATTCCAAACTGGGTGTTAGGGAAATACGGCGGACTAAATGTTATTTTACATCTTCCCCGTCACTGATCACTGTCACATTTAAAGCTGCAAATGGTCTATTTGTTATGCCAACTAACACCAGAACAAACAGAGATGAGAGAACTTGTTAAAGTTCAAATTTAGCCCCGTAAAACTCAATGTATGTTATGTAACAGCGGACGGCCAATGTAATGTTCTTACAGGATCGTTGACATATTACGTAATCACGTCCTGAACAACGTTTAATTTGCCCCCCCCCCCCCCCCCCCCCCCCCCCCCCTCTCGGTGATTCCGTATTATGTGAACGACCACTTTATAGCAACATTTATCATAGCAGCTTGTTTTTAAATCACTGTTTCTTATGATACAAGTTTCGTTACCATTCGTATCACACAAAGTAATAAATGACGTATAGTAGTATTACTCGTCGGGAAAAACCCTGGTTCTTTTTGTAGTAATTGTGCGGAACGCGCTTGCGCCGAATCAAAAATATGTGTGAAAGTTTTTCTTGCGCGCATTTACTGTGACATAATGTGTCACGTGATAATCTGAAACTTTGAATAGTCATAACACCAAGAGATAAGCAACAGAGGTAAATCTGGCTACGTAATATCGTCAAGTAGGTATCTAGGAGTTTTGTGAATATTTTGAAATCAAATTCGAGCGGGTATTTTGTGATTTAGCGAGGTGCGCGGAAAAAAAGCAAATAACCGTCAGCACATGGCCATACAGCCTCCATAGTGGTATCTGAGATCGGCTATCGATGCGGCACTACTTACTAGTCCATAAAACAATCATCTCAGGAGCCTAGGGGCTCCAGCAGAAGAGTGCCTTATTTGCCCGTAAGAGCCTCTACTATAAAGCAAAAAAGTCAAAATTTTTACCACTTTTTTGGATTTTTACCTCAGAACAAATAGAGGGATTTGTTTTATTTTTATACAATCTTGTGCGGCTGTCTATTAGCTATCTTTATGCAAGTTTTGCCGACATGCCAACAAAATTAACTTGCTCAAAATATCAAAAAACATGGTTTTTTGGCCTATTTTTGGCCCAAAAATCGGTTTTTTGCGATTTTACCCCAGAACAATCAGTCCAATCATCTTGAAACCACTTTCAATCGATTCTACGGTCAAAAATACGTCTAGTAAGGTGTATCTGGGGTCCCTAACGTATCGAGCAGACAATGCCCGTAAGAGCCTCTACTATTCGGCTCTCAATCCCTGTGCTGTGTGCGCGGCGCTCTTTTCAAGCTTCCTGAGCAGGAAGCTTCTCTCTCCATACGTGAGATCAGAAGCGAGCAATAGACTAGCAAGCTAGGTACGTAAGTTGCGATACCAGCTACTGATCTTTGTTAAAAAGCCACAAGCATAAGGGGCAATTTATTTCGCTCCACGCTGTGGCAGTGGCGCCGCGCCTGTATAAATACAAGTGCGCGGCAAAAAGTGCTTGCTTCCTCACTGCTCACGTATGTACACTTACAGTGTACATGTATTATATCAAATATTTTAAGTTCTCACCTGCACCATACACCATGAAGCCTTTTTACTTTTGCGCGTTTCACGTGTCAGGCCAAATAACGTTCCGTGATCATTACTGATTTTATTGATTGACAATGTCAACCCATCGAGACCGTTGCTCTGCGAAGCAGAGCAACGATCGACGATGGGCTGATGTTTGCGAAGCAAGAATGCGAAGCAAGAATGCTAGTTCGCGCGGCGCGTCGAAGCGGCGAAGTCCTCCAATTGATTTTATTATTTTGCTTTTTGTGTTTTGGCAACTATTTGGTTTAAAATGACCGTTTTGAGATAAATCTGTGTTTTTAAAATTTTAAACCATTACTTGATGGAATCACAAAGAAAATTAAAACAATCGAGAGGGAGTCCAGATTATATTCAATATTAGAGACGGTGCAGTAAATGGAAATCTTAAAGAAAGAGTATTATGGAGTATATGCAATGGAATAATATACTCATTCATCATCAACTGCAACAAATACTGCATATAACTGTTTCTTGCCAGTAAAATATATACTTGTACATTGTATTGAGTTACCGGGCACGCCAATCTCTGTGCGCGGTGCTCTTTTTAAGCTTCGTGAGATATACGTGAAAGAAGTGAGCAATAGACTAGTAAACTAAGTAAGTATTTAGCTACGTAAGACACAATTTAAAAATCTTCACGTCCATTTGACTATTCTGAATTAGTCAACGACGCTCACCAATGTGCAATGGCTGGTAGCTCGGCTGGGAATCGAACTTGGTACCTCACGATGAACAAGCAGGCAGACCAACTGAGCCACCGTCGAGCCTTATAAAATAATTTATTGAAAATCTATTATCTAATCAGAAAGTTGTGTATTTGCTCATGCACCATCAATCTCTACGATAAGTTGATATGAAGTTATTCACTGGGCCTATGTATCCAACTCAGCCTTGTTTTATAAACTGCGATTGAGTGTTGAACGAGCTTGGTTGTCGATAAATCTGCATATCGTAAGGATAAGAAACTTCTACGTGCACTCCATAAACTGGCTGTACTATATATCTTGTAAATAAATTGATGCACATGTTCGTTCTTATATAAAAATGCCAGTTCTGTTGTATAACTTGCAGATATATTTATTCTCTGTGTTAGTCTCTACATAATTTACAAGCCAAGACCTGATGTGTAGCTAATACCTCCCTGATATTCAACGCACACACTAAGAATATAAACATGTAATAACATCGGATTAAAACGGTATACATTAGTTTTTAAAATAATTAATGAGTTTCTTTGCAAAAAATAATTCCTACACAATATGTAGGAATTTTAAAACTATCCTGTGTCAGTAAATAAATACATTTTGGGTTATTATGATTCAACTTAAATATTGATTTACGACTTTTGTTCTTCCAGCATGCCAAACACTGCTTGTCTCTTTAATGCAAAATAGATTTGAGTTTTGAAATTGCATGTGGTGTAAACTGATTAGTAATTTGAAACAAGACACATACTCTGCCCACAATAAGGGGCCATAATTGTATCAATTATGTAACTGTTTAGAATTATTATTATTAATTTGAAACTGACCATAAACTCACATCTGATAGAGATGAATTATGATGATATCCTTAACAGTCCTGCGTTTAAGGTATAGTTCGATAACATCGTGGTGCAAAGTTTTAACACGAAATATTAGTGCTATGGACTACCACTCCTTCAATTCAAAAAGATTTCGTCTTATAGCTGGAAGTGATGAGGCATGCTCTCAGAGTAATGGAGTTGCCTATTATATGCATCGGGATCAGCGTGTTCAGGACAATTGGGCATTTATATACTCACAAGACCTTGCATTGAAGCATAACTTACCTCTTTATGTACTGGCTGGCTTGAACGTCAAACATCCAGATAGTCCTGAAGCTACTCGAAGAGCTATAGATTTTACGCTTGGGGGGCTACAAGAAGTTGCAAATGAATGCTCACAGCTTGGTATTGAATTTCATTTTCTTCAAGATCATCATGTGCCAATGCACAGCCGCATTCTCAAGTTTATGCAAGAAACATCAATAAAATGTATTGTTGCTGATTTCAGCCCATTGCATCCTCACAGGAATCAGATTAAAGAGTTAGGTGATAGAATAGATAAGGAGAGTTGTTTGTTTCAAATTGATGCTCATAATATAGTCCCCGCATGGGAAGCCTCCAACAAGGACGAACCTCGAGCCATGGAAATGAGACAAAAAATTATGCCTCGCTTCAACGAATTCTTTACTGAGTTTCCTGTCATTAAATCACATCCCATTAAGGCATTGAATGCTTCTCCTATCATAAACTGGGATCAAATTAGAAGTTCTGTGTCTGTTGATGAATCAGTTCCGAGTTGTGAATGGGCTCAACCTGGCTCACGTTATGGTTTGCAAAGATTACAGAAATTTGTTGCTGAAGGTTTAAAAATGTACAATGAAAAACGGAACATTCCTACAGTAGATGCAATTTCAAATCTGTCACCATGGTTTCATTCTGGACATGTTAGTGCCCAAAGAGCTGTTATTGCTGTCAAGAAATACGAGGAATTGTATCCTAAATCTGTATTCAAATTTGTTGATGAAGCTGTTGTATGGAGTGAAATGTCAGACAATTACTGCCTCCATAACAAAAACTATGATAACTTGAATGGTGCTCCCAAATGGGCTATTGACAGTCTAAATCAGCATAGGGGTGATAAAAGGGAGTATCTCTATTCTAGAGAGCAATTTGAAAAAGCCCAAACACATGATGATCTCTGGAATGCTGCTCAAATTCAGCTAAATTTAGAAGGGAAGATGCATGGATTCATGAGGATGTATTGGGCTAAAAAGATTCTAGAGTGGTCAAGTAGTCCAGATGAGGCAATAGCAATTGCTTTGTATCTTAATGATCATTATAGTTTGGATGGAGCCGATTCTAATGGGTTTGCAGGTGTCATGTGGGCAATTGCTGGAGTACATGATCCTCCTAAATGGGGTGAAAGACCTGTTTATGGTAGAATTAGATACATGTCCTATAAAGGCTGTAAAGGGAAGTTTGACATCTTTGAATACATTAAAAAGTACAAGTCAGAGGGAGCCCCCTCAAAAGCACAGGGAGGACTTCACAACTATTATCCAAAATCTCAGCCTCAAGGTCGAAAACAAGGGCCTGGGCGTGTTCAAGGGTCTTGGGGTGGTGTGAACTCTAATAAAAATCAATGATCATGTTTTATTAGTTTTATAATGCAATCAACATAAATTTGCATTTAGTGCTTAATTTTATTATATTATTTGTGACCCTCATTGTATTCACGAGAAATAGTACTGATATTGTAATTGTGCCCCTGCCCTACATTTTGAGTGACCCTCATTGAAATGAGTTGGATCAATTTCTTGTTTTATTCAATTGTGTTTTAGATCTTAAATAGGACTTAATTGTTGTGTAACTCAGATTGTAAAGATGTTTTCTGAATGGTAGTAGAATTGTTGTGTTGCAATTGGAATTTGGATGATTATATTTAATTCCAACCTGACCATTACTTACGTCTTCGATAGACATTAGGCATGTTTGCTATGAATTTGTTGGTTTCATTTTCAATCTATTAATATCTTGCAATAAGTCAATAATAAGCGTATAATGTAAATATTCATAGAAAAGATGATATATATACTGAATTGATTTATCAAATTGTTCAAAACTTTATTATACAGTCAAACCTGATATACCTATACCACGCCCATATTTACAGCGCCCATATTTACTGTAAATAACGATACTTAACGTGAACAATAAAATCCCCAATTTACTGCAAACCCTGATTTACCCAAACTGTTTATTTCCCTCAAAGCCTGCTATTGATCAGTGTTTTATCAATTATCCTAACCTTCTTTCTTTGATTTCAGTTAAATCTTAGTGTCATGGACTACAGTTCCTTCAACTTGGAAAGATGCCGTCTACTTGCTGGAAGTGAGGAAGCATGCTCTAAGAGTAATGGAGTTGCTTATTTTATGAATAGGGATCAGCGTGTCCAAGACAATTGGGCATTTATATACTCTCAAGAACTTGCACTTAAGCACAATTTGCCTCTTTACGTACTAGCTGGCTTGAATATCAACCATCCAGAGAGTCCTGAAGCCACTCGTAGAACAGTTGAATTCTCTCTTGGAGGGCTGCAAGAAGTTGCAAAAGAATGCTCTCAACTTGGAATTGAATTCTATTTCCTGAAAGATCACCATGTGCCAATAAATAACCGTATTCTCAAGTTTATGCAAGAAACGTCTGTCCATTGCATTGTTACTGATTTCAGCCCTTTGCACCCTCAAAGAAACCAGATTAAAGAATTGAGTGACAAGATTGGTAACGACAGTTGTCTGTTTCAAGTTGATGCCCATAGTGTTGTTCCCACATGGGTGGCATCTGATAAAGAGGAGCTACAAGCTGTCCAGATGAGGGAAAAGATCATGAAACGCTTTGATGAATTCTTTACAGAGTTTCCTGTCATCAAATCTCATCCCATAAAGGCAGCACAGGCTTCTCCTGTCATTGATTGGGATCAAATTAGAAGTTCTGTGTCTGTTGATGAATCAGTTCAGAGTTGTGAATGGGCTCAACCTGGCTCACGTTATGGTTTGCAAAGATTACAGAAATTTGTTACTGAAGGTTTGGAAATCTACAGCGAGAAACGGAACAACCCTACTGCAGATGCACTTTCTAATCTGTCACCATGGCTTCATACTGGACAGGTTAGTGCCCAAAGAGCTGTTATTGCCGTCAAGAAATGCGAAGATTTGTTTTCTGAATCTGTTGCAAAATTTGTTGATGAAGCTATTGTATGGAGTGAAATGTCAGACAACTATTGCCTCTACAACAAAAACTATGATAACTTGAATGGTGCTCCCAAATGGGCTATTGACAGTCTAAATCAGCATAGGGGTGATAAAAGGGAGTATCTCTATTCTAGAGAGCAATTTGAAAAAGCCCAAACACATGATGATCTCTGGAATGCTGCTCAAATTCAGCTGAAATTAGAAGGGAAGATGCATGGATTCATGAGGCTGTATTGGGCTAAAATGATTCTAGAGTGGTCAAGTAGCGCAGATAAGGCAATATCAACTGCTTTGTATCTTAATGATCATTACAGTTTGGATGGAGCCGATTCTAATGGGTTTACTGGTGTCATGTATTCAATAGCTGGAGTACACGATCCTTATGATGCTAAATGGGGCGAAAGACCAATCTATGGGAAAATTAGATACATGTCATATGACAGTATTACTGAAAGGTTTGATATCTCGGATTACATAAAGAAGTTTAAAGTACCAAACTAATTTCAAAGATCACAACTTCGGGACCCAGTACCCGACTACCTGGTTACTGGTTTAAGAATGAAGAGTTTCGAGTTTAAATTCATCGAACACTTATAATCCACTAAAATTTTGGTGATGTTTTACAGTTAAAAATACTGATTTAATCCATTTGTGATTATATATTGATAACATTTGTTTTTTTAAATGATTTCTTTAAACAGTTCAATCATAGTATCTGTGTGTTTTTAATGCTATTTTTTATATAAAATAAGTCTTTCAATGGAACAGTGAAGGGAGTTTTATTTTGATTTGTCAGATATTTTCATTATACGATTTGTGATCCTGTATTAGGTGACCCTCATTGGAAATAAGGGAATTTGTATTTTAATCAATTATTTAATTTATTAAATATTTATACAAGATTTGTGATCAAGTATTGAGTGACCCTCATTTGACATGCATTTTTTGTTCCATTGAATAATTGCGTTTCATTTATTTACTTCTCATCGTTCTAAGGCATGTGTTTTCGCTTCAACTTTAGTGGTATAGGTACTGAAATCTCACCATACATACATTAACCATAGAAAACATTGGTCATTGACCAAATTATTTGGAACTTATGGCAAAAAATTGCAAAATGTCTTACTTTTGTCCTAAACGCTATTTTATATGATACATTTAATGATATTTATTATCTAACACACTGTTCTAATTTAGGTAAACTAAAGGTAAGGCACCAGGTGTGTCGTCGACATGAATGGGAGGTTCTCTTAAAAAACTCTCTACAAATGGAGGCCTGGGTCTCTTCAGGAAAAACTCAAGAATCGTCATGCTGGGCCTAGATGCTGCTGGTAAAACAACCATACTCTACAAACTGAAACTAGATGAAACTGTCAGCACCATTCCAACTATCGGATTCAATGTGGAGACGGTCAAACATTCCAAAAGTGTCAGTTTCACTGTCTGGGACATTGGGGGACAACAAAAACTGCGTCCCCTTTGGAAACACTACCTCAAAGGTACTGACGGGCTCATCTTCGTGGTGGACTGCTGGGACTTTACTCGCGTTGACGAAGTACGAGAAGAACTGTCAAACTTGTTGGCATTACCAGAGATGCAGGACGTGCCCATAATGATATTCGGTAACAAACAGGACATGCGGGGAGCTGTTAACCCACCTCAACTAATTGAGCAGCTGCACATGAACAGATACAATAACCACAGCTGGTATGTGCAGGGTACGTGTGCGGTTACCGGGGAGGGCATCTGGGAGGGAATTGAGATTATTGCTGAGATGATTAAGGATCATAAGAGAGATAAGAGGAGGAAAAAGAAGAAGTGACGTATAGTTATGTTTAGTTCATTTATCAGTCGTCAATTTTTTAAAAAAATAGGTTTTGCAGAGATTGGGTGTTCACTGCAGGCTAGTGATTTGAATTTATACTATAAGTTTGTAAAAAATTTTGAATTAGCAAATCGTGCGTTTATACCAATTTTGATTATTAGTACATTTCTTTGATACTGTGCAATAACCGTTGAAAACAAAGAATCGGGATTGATTTACGTTTTTACCGCTTGAAAAGTATTATTGAGGGTTTATTAATTTTATCATGATGTGACGTGTTTTTGCCTAATAAGACTGTGGTGTATGGATAACTCCGAGTTTGTCGTTTAAACTAATTACCTAATTAGTAACTAATTACCTAATCAGTAACTAATTACCTAATTAGTTACTAATTACCTGCTGTGTACCTCAAAACATGATCCACTGAACTGTTTCCTTACAACAACAGTAGTTCCAAGTCAAACTACTGTGTTAAACTTCTCAACGTATTATGTCCATAATGACACAGCATATATTATTATTTTATTTGAAATAAAGGCTAAACTTAACGATAACATCCATTCGAAGCACGTGCTGAACATAAAAGCAGATAAGACAGTCACAACTTTACTAATCATGACATTCCAAGCGTTAAACATTGATCCGTTGAGCTATTTTTAGCATTATTTTGGTAAATATTTGAGGAAAAGATATTGATGTTTTGTAAATACTAAGCTTTGTTTGTACGATTTAAATTAAGTACCCCTAATTAATTAATTAATTAATTAAGTACCCCTCTAAACTATGCACATTATTACCCTCGTTATAAATTATGAGAAATTTCTTAAAATTTCTAAATGTCGTCATGCCAATACCTATACCCTTCGCATTATTATCCTAGACTAATAGATGATTAATAACTCTCTTAACGATACATTATTTTCTAAGCTATGGGTTAAAGTGATGTAATTTGTCCTTTATTGTGTGATAGTTATTTATTGGAAATTCGATTACTGCAAAATTGGTTTTTACAAAGTTTATATTATAGCACAATGTAAAATTGTTACAATGACAGATATGAAGCTTCGGCATAAGTTTTTGTTTTGCCTCATTCTACATATTATCGTTTTTATTCAGACAAACGCGACAGAGATTTTCATTGCATCAAAATTAGACCAAATTTATAGATAATAAAGTAATTTAACTGTAATTTTTTGCATTGAATTTTATACTGATAACATTCCGCCGATCATTACTAGATCTGCCAACTATAATTTACAGTGCTTACCATAATAATAACATGGAACTCACTTAACTGTAAATACTCGACACGTGTGATTAACTAGAATAGTAAGTTGTAGGTGTCAACCAAATTAATTAAATAATTAATTAAATTAATTATTTAATTAAATAATTAATTAAATACCAGGTAATTAATTAAATACCAGGTAGTTATGATACGTAAAGAAGCATCAGCGCTAAGCGCGTCCGCACTTCAAATGAACCACGTGGTGTTGAATTACTGCCGCACTGCGCTTTCTGCAATCTCAGGCAGCGTGGCCGGCGTTCTCGGACTATACGGTATTCACGGCTTTGTCTTTTACATATTTTCCTCCCTACTTATGTCAGTTCTTCTCATAGGAAAAGCTAATTTCACCTGGCAGAAGTATTTCCTGTCCTCGTGGGATATCTGGACTACGGGAGTACTCGGGGGAACGCTGACTTTCATTCTTTTCTGGACATTTCTCTACGGGCTGGTTAATGTTTACTAGCAGGTTTTTAAGATGTTCGCGTGTTATTCTGGGCGCTGTGGGACGCAACTTCAACACCCCTGGCATACAATCAGGATTATGTAATCAGAATCAAATACCCAGCATTCCTTTATCTCGCTTGCTATCAGATCAGACTACAATCGGACGAATAAAGCCCACCATGTCAATAATCTTCACGTGTAATGTCTGTAAGACCAGACAAGCTAAGACAATGTCCAAGAAGTCGTATGAGCAGGGGGTAGTGTTGATAAGGTGTGACGGGTGTGATAATTTACATCTTATAGCGGATAACCTGGGGTGGTTCAGGGATGAGAAGGTTAATGTTGTGGATATTTTGAGGGAGAAGGAGGAGGAGGTGAAGACTTTGTCGGATGTTGATTTGCTGGATGTGACTGATCTGGGTTTGTTTAATGAAGCGGCAGGGGAGAAGGGGGGTTGAACTGACTGAAGTGGTTTCTTCAGAATTTTGTATGACTTTGTCTGAGATGAGTTTGGATTTTTCTTTGATTTTATTTATTTCTATTGATTGGATGTAAACTCAATTCTTGACTAAATAAAATGATATTTCAATGTTTCCTCTTAGACCATCTTGTATCAAATACAGTACATCGTAACTGATTCTATTTGTTAAATACGGACCCCCGAATGTTACAACTTAATATTACCATAATCTAAATACGTCTCAAATTTGAAGTCCAACAAATCACAGTGTTTCTAACTAAACCAGTGTATCTAACTCACAGTGTTTCTAACCAGTTGTATAAAACACCAGTAATGAAGAGGCGGAATGTGGATAGTAGCTCATCAGAAAGCAACACTCTAGTTAACGATGCTAACTGTATATTCGTGTGTCAAAACGAGCATGTTCTGAAGAAATTCAAAGAAAGGTGAGTTTAAAATATTATTTCTAATCGATCAGTTTGTTTAGTCACGTCTTGTAGTTGTATTAATACTATTGTGTTACATGATATGAACTTTAAATATTGTATTTAAATTGGATAGTCACGTGGTTTGAATACTGTCTCCTGATTGGTTGGTTAGTCACGTTGCTTGAATACTGTGTTCTGATTGGTTAGTCACATGGTTTGAATACTGTCTTCTGATTGGTTGGTTAGTCACGTTGCGTGAATACTGTGTTGTTCTGTTCAGTGTTCCTGTCTGACGGAGTTGTTGTTTCGCGTCAATAAGTGTTATTGGTTTCGTGTACAGCTCTAAAAATGAAATAGCAAGTTCGGGAGACGAAGTTCATATAACACGTGACATAACACGTGACACCTATACTAATCACATGATCTATTGTCTGAGTTTCACAGCCCCCTTCTTCAGGTACATAAACACAGAGCCCACCTCCACTGATGACGATACAGCACCTACAGAACCAGTGGATAGCCCCATTAGTAAACCTACTATTTTAGGTACTGTACCCTGAACTGTCACGTTATATTGTTATTTGTAACATTCACTTTGTCAGTCACACAGTTTGTTGTTGGGGTAGTTTTTCTGCTGCTTTCTTATCTTCAGATCTATTATTTGAATTTGGTGGTTTAATTAACTAATTATTTTATCTAATTAGCAATGTTATTTTACAGATCGTTTAAGGAGAGATATATTCCCCAAGATGGCGCTAGAAAACAGGATACTGGACATTTCTTTGGGACTCCTTCTTTTCTACTACTTTTGGTTCTACACCGACATCCGCAAATTCTCAGACTCTCTCATAGGTCAGAACCTTATGAAGTGGGTCGTATCATTACACTGTATTTTATCAACGTGACACAAACCAACCAATCAGAAGACAGTATTCACACCACGTGACACAAACCAACCAATCAGAAGACAGTATTTACACCACGTGACACAAACCAACCAATCAGAACACAGTATTCACACCACGTGACACAAACCAACCAATCAGAACACATTTCCTCTTCCAGATAAAGCGGTGTTGCTAGCTAACCTTCTTGATCATACAATATCCTGGCTTGGAGAAGTTCCTGCTGGATTGAAGCTGAATAACGAGCTCGTTCAGTTCTTGGGACTATTCTTCCGTTACCATATTCACCTTTTTAAAGGTTAGTCTTCTTTTTTAGAGTTCAGACACAATCAGATCAGCCAAAAAGCTGAACAATTATAATTTTGTCTCGATTATTTCTTAACCATAGATAAGAATTAGATAATTTTACCACATTGCAATAGATCGTTGTTGAGCGTTGACCCATATCTTGAACAGGTTCTAACACCTAATCCCCCCTGCAGGATATCTAGATCTGATCTCTGGATACATGCCTTGTATCCTCTACACCATATCCCTAACCTGTATCCCGGGAATCACGTGCTTTCTCTCCTACACCTTATCTTTCTCCATCATACTCCTGCTTCATGTTCACTGTTTCTACGCGTACGCGTGTAATTTGTACAGCGCTCAGCTTAAGGCTCTAGTTTCGCTAGGTCAGTAAACCCATTATTATGTGTGATTGCTTAATTGTTAATATTTCTTATCTCTATTCTGAATGTCTGTGGGGCCGGGGTGGCAAGAATTACGGCCGTTTAAATGAGAATAGTGTGAGTAGGCACGGTGTTAATTCTCACTGAGTCACGTGACAGTGACGTCACTGAGTCACGTGATAGTGACGTCACGGTGTTGTACATCACGGATATCACTCACGAATTGTTATACTGTAAGTGTGCAAGCTAGCAACTGAATGTTTATTTTAATATAATAGCTACCCGAGCGTGACTAAGTTACTCGTAATAATTGTTCAAGTTAAATTGTCGGTTCAAAACAATTTGCATAGATTTTATTTTACGTTTAATGCACTGTTTTATGCATTGTTATGTGTGTTTCGTGGTGGATTACATAACCAAAAGTCCGGAAACTATAACTGTATCAGAATTCAGATACATTGTTCGGTAGTACATGATATTCTGTCGAACAGTCAAATCTTGCTGCATTCCAAGATCCAAGTAATATGTGGCACTTTTGGTTGGTAGTACTATCAGGATTGTATCCTTGTTCTCTTTCTCTACACTTCTCTGTAATTCTACATAAGGAATGTACACTGTACAGGGATTGTAATTTCAAGTACATAATGTTACGAGAAGTAATATGAAACTTAGAACTGACAACGCTAATTATGTACTGGGTATAAGATACGGAATGTCGTATTGTCACGTGTACATTCTCAATCTCACAGCAGTTCATACCAGATTAAATGCGCGTGTTCAGATTGCACGTGTAAAATATATAAATTCAAATCACAATTACAGCGTCTTGTATCTTTTACCTATCGTAAAAGTTCAATATCGTATCTCATATTGATATTTGATATATATATTTACATATTTGCGTGCCCCGCGGGAATGAATACATCTTATTACAATAATCATATAATATTTTTGTGTAAACATTGACTGGTACTACGGGCCAACCCCCAATCAAAAGTTAAAATTTAAATGTTAAACACAATAAAAATGACTCTAACCTCAGGTCGTCTGTTTGCTGGAGTAAAATACAACCCTCTCCGGTCCAGGGTAGACTCAGTTAAAACACACGGAGATCAGCTGATTCTGGGCACCCTCCTCTTCTCCACCCTTCTCTTCCTCTTCCCTACCACACTGCTCTATTACTGTGTCTTTACACTTGTTAATCTAGCTCTGGTGCTGGTTCAGATGTGTATTGTCACTGCTATATCCGTTATCAGAACCTGTCCTATCAGAGATTTGGTTAAAGTTGTGTCACGTGACAGTGACGTTATGTGTGACGTCATGATACAGCCTTTATCTGGTTGTCATGGTGACGAGGGTGCGGGTTACCAGGGTAATGATGGTTCTGAGAGTGCTGATGGTTCACCAGGTAACCATGGTAACGTGTTTATAGTGACCGCTGTTTATAAGACGCTGGTTAGCTGTTTGAAACGGACTAGTTTAGGTAATCATAAACTCAGTCTGACGAAAGTAAAGAGTAAGTGTTTGAAGGGTGACGTTATTAAGATATCTTTTTAGTTGTCATGGTGATAAATTGTTTAGGTGATGTCTTTTTAAGTTAAGTTGTCATGGTGATAACTTAATATAATAATAATGCTTTAGTATGATCTCTTTGCTTTACATTTGATGTACTATTTATTAAGGTATTCTGACCTTTGAATTGTTTGTATATTAGTTATACTGAATATTAATATTGTGTTATTTCCAGCTTTTCTTAACTAAGTTTATATTTTTTAATTTGTTATTCTGACTCTATTCAGATGGGGAAGATGTTGTTTATGTGAGTCAGCTGCTCTTTTTGTTAAGTTATTGATGAATTAAGTTTTAATGCATTAATATTCCAGATTATGTTCATGATATTGATTTAAATTTAACTTCTGTAAAAGTTATAAAACAGGAGATTTGATTAATACTAAATAAGATAATTTCCTAAATTCCGTATCATTATAAAAGTATAATGATAGCTATATAGATTATAGGGATTATCTCAATATAATTTCATCTTACATGGTAAACTAACAGAACCTGGTATTTTTAGCTTGATGAATTGAACAGTGGTTGATGGAAGTAGACACACAGGAGGATGTCCGAGATCAGGTGAATAGATTATTTAAATAATTAATTAGTTAATCTAAAAATTATTAATTAGTTAAATTAATAGATTATTCGAATCATTATTTAGTTAAATTAATCACTTAAATATGGTGATTTTAAGGAAGGCGGAATAGTGGCAAGTATTTCTCATCCATGCCAGTGATATTAACCAACTAGTTAGTGAACATCAAGAACATCCTCCTTATCATGCTTATATTATCCGTGTTATACTCTAAATAATATGTACAGGGTGAAAAAGGGAGATTTTAGCCACTTTATTTTTACTCTTATTACGAATGTAACAATCTGCACATATTTAACATCACGTTGATCGTTCAACCCGTACGATATGATTTAAATATAATATTGATTTGGATACTTGTGGGGAGGCCATGTGACACGTGACAGACATTATTAACCAACCAGTGAACAGCATTGATCAATAAAATTCGTAAATCACTTGCACTGTCAGTATATGGAAACAAATATTTTCAGATTTATACAGATTTTTTCCAGATGATTTCAGATTAACACCGACCTCTTTGTAGGCATCAGAGAAGATAGCACTGTTACGTAAAGGTTCAACAGACAAAGTGATATCGCGTTGTCTAGAGGAGGAGATCAACACAAGTCGAGACATCTCGCCGGACACTTACAAGTTTTTATTAGCAGCTCATCTTATCAAGGTATATAACAGAATATCTTATAAAGGTAGATAACAGGGCATTTGCAAACCAACTAGTTGCCAAGGTAACATTAGCATTTTAGTCGCTCACTCACTACTTGCACTCTGTATTTCTCGGTTATGTTAAGGAACACCTGGCTCTTTAGTAGTAGTAAAACTAACCCACTTTTAGTAAAACTAACCCACTATTAGTAAAACTAACCCGCCACTCTACAGGGTGATTCAGACGAGGCTCGACTTCTGTGGCTACGAGTACCCTCTTCCCTCAAATCACACACTGAACTCACGCGAATGTGGAGTATAGGACGCGCCATGATACTGGAGGACTACCCTAATGTATACAGCGTCCCCTCACCAACCTCACTAGAAACATTGGTACTGTCAAGTTATACACGCCGGACGTTACACACTATATCAGTTACCTACAAGTCCTTATCGTTAGCAGAGTTTCAGACTATGACGGGGCTGAGTAGCAGGGAGGGTGCCAGGGAGACTGTTGATAGTTTGGGGTGGCGGCGCGAGGAGTGCGCAGGGAACAGTGCGCAGAATAGCGCGCAGAACAACGTGCAGGAGGAGTTTGTGTTCCCGACTGTACCAGAAAAGTGCCCCTCCAAAACTGTGATCGGGTTATCAGAGCTATCTAATTATATATCTTTCTTGGAGAACGTGTAAAGTTTATGGTACTGTATGCTGTAAAGTATGTCAAGAATGTGGTCAGTTTATTCAGTGGGATGAGAAGTGGGGTGGAGCAGTTTGCTGGTCAAGGGTTGTTATGTTGGGTGCGGAATGCTATTGGGGGAATGTTGAGTTGGTGACGTCATCAGTGTTTTGTCAAGAGTTGTAGAGCATAAAAAAGAGTCGCCCTCAGGGCAATATCTGAGAATCACGACACGCAGAACCAAATATGGACGTCACTCATCATCATTCGGAGATCAAGACGTCGTTCAAGTGGATAGCTGTCGTTTGTAATGTTAATGTCTTAGTTGGTTGTTATTCTACATGTATCTCAGAGAAGTGACCCTGTTCTTTCATTAAATAACGATTAATTGTTTGTTTGTGTTCAAACTTGTGCAATCCGGAATTTGGCGATCAACTCAACTGTTTCTCGGGGAATTATTATGTTTTTTTGGGAAAAAATTAGGGAGGGTTAAATTTTATTGGGTTAATCAGTTAAAACTTACATGTTTGTAAGGCAGAAGAAGTTGAGGTATGTATGTTTGGACACGTGCTTGTATCCAGCTAATAGTGTGTTTGTGGCTGTCGAACGTTACCCTCCTCCTCAACACGTCAGCAATAATCATCGCCCACGTGTTCTGGAATTTGGTAGAAAAACGTTCCACAATGCATGTAGATGTTTGAATTCTTACATCATATCAGTACTAGACTCTCCGAACATAATCATGTTAGTTAAACTTCCTTTTTTCGCACATATCATGCAAAAATAGAATCATTCAGAATGAACAGTGCGCAACATTAACACTTGTTCTGGGAACGTATTGTGGATTTTGGGAAATAACAAGCACCCCAGATATTGTTTTGAATTTGAACGATTTTTAGCTTTTTAGAGTTTTATAATGTACTACTAGAAAACATTTTCCTGGTTGAGGAAAAATTTTATTTGAAATAATAAGTTTGATAATTTATACTCGCTTTGTCTCGCTATAATGATTACCTCTTTTTTTCAGAGAAGTTTACTAACGGTTAAAGGAGATTGTTGAGCATTTTTTTTCATTGTGTTCCATCGCGAAACAAATATTTCATTATACTCACTATAAAAAAGAAAACTTTCAGTAATTTTTTATCGATATATGCCGCTTCGCACAAGTTGCAGATATTTTGGATACCGCTAAATTTAAATGAAACTGTAAGTTAGTTGACTAATTACTAACTTTTTTCTTCTGCAAGGATTGTGACATATGAATACACTAATAGATGGGGATGAAGTAGAGACCTGGAATGTAACTAAACCTTCTAAAGATACGAGTAAGTAGCATGTTGTTTGTTTGTTTGTTTGTTTGTTTGTTTGTTTGTTTGTTTGTTTGTTTGTTTGTTTGTTTGTTTGTTTGTTTGTTTGTTTGTTTGTTTGTTTGTTTGTTTGTTTGTTTGTTTGTTTGTTTGTTTGTTTGTTTTTTATTATTTTGTTTGTTTGTTTGTTTGTTTGTTTGTTTGTTTGTTTGTTTGTTTGTTTGTTTGTTTGAGGGAACCCGTCCCCAATCTCATCCTGAAAAATGACCTGACTCAATACTGAATGTGAATACGGGTGGTACCTGCAAGGGTATTCATTAATTAACACTTTTACTAAATAAAACTTTTAAGTTTTACTACTGAGGGGGCTTTAGAGGACTCTATTCGGCTAAGGGTTTTTAAAACACGTTACAATAAATGTACTATGTGCTGTATTACCACACGTTACAATAAATGTACTATGTGCTGTATTAGCACACGTTACAGTAAATGTATTACCACACGTTACAGTAAATGTATTATGTGCTGTATTACCACACGTTACAATAAATGTACTATGTGCTGTATTATCACACGTTACAGTAAATGTATTACCACACGTTACAGTAAATGTATTACCACACGTTACAGTAAATGTATTACCACACGTTACAGTAAATGTATTACCACACGTTACAGTAAATGTATTACCACACGTTACAGTAAATGTATTACCACACGTTACAGTAAATGTATTACCACACGTTACAGTAAATGTATTACCACACGTTACAGTAAATGTATTACCACACGTTACAGTAAATGTATTACCACACGTTACAGTAAATGTATTACCACACGTTACAGTAAATGTATTACCACACGTTACAGTAAATGTATTACCACACGTTACAGTAAATGTATTACCACACGTTACAGTAAATGTATTACCACACGTTACAGTAAATGTATTACCACACGTTACAGTAAATGTATTACCACACGTTACAGTAAATGTATTACCACACGTTACAGTAAATGTATTACCACACGTTACAGTAAATGTATTACCACACGTTACAGTAACTGTATTATGTGCTGTATTACCACACGTTACAGTAAATGTATTATGTGCTGTATTACCACACGTTACAGTAAATGTATTACCACACGTTACAGTAAATGTATTACCACACGTTACAGTAAATGTATTATGACACGTTACAGTAAATGTATTACCACACGTTACAGTAAATGTATTATGACACGTTACAGTAAATGTATTACCACACGTTACAGTAAATGTATTATGACACGTTACAGTAAATGTATTACCACACGTTACAGTAAATGTATTACCACACGTTACAGTAAATGTATTACCACACGTTACAGTAAATGTATTACCACACGTTACAGTAAATGTATTACCACACGTTACAGTAAATGTATTACCACACGTTACAGTAAATGTATTACCACACGTTACAGTAAATGTATTACCACACGTTACAGTAAATGTATTACCACACGTTACAGTAAATGTATTACCACACGTTACAGTAAATGTATTACCACACGTTACAGTAAATGTATTACCACACGTTACAGTAAATGTATTACCACACGTTACAGTAAATGTATTACCACACGTTACAGTAAATGTATTACCACACGTTACAGTAACTGTATTATGTGTTGTATTACCACACGTTACAGTAAATGTATTATGTGCTGTATTACCACACGTTACAGTAAATGTATTACCACACGTTACAGTAAATGTATTACCACACGTTACAGTAAATGTATTACCACACGTTACAGTAAATGTATTACCACACGTTACAGTAAATGTATTACCACACGTTACAGTAAATGTATTACCACACGTTACAGTAAATGTATTACCACACGTTACAGTAAATGTATTACCACACGTTACAGTAAATGTATTACCACACGTTACAGTAAATGTATTACCACACGTTACAGTAAATGTATTACCACACGTTACAGTAAATGTATTACCACACGTTACAGTAAATGTATTACCACACGTTACAGTAAATGTATTACCACACGTTACAGTAAATGTATTACCACACGTTACAGTAAATGTATTACCACACGTTACAGTAACTGTATTATGTGTTGTATTACCACACGTTACAGTAAATGTATTATGTGCTGTATTACCACACGTTACAGTAAATGTATTACCACACGTTACAGTAAATGTATTACCACACGTTACAGTAAATGTATTACCACACGTTACAGTAAATGTATTACCACACGTTACAGTAAATGTATTACCACACGTTACAGTAAATGTATTACCACACGTTACAGTAAATGTATTACCACACGTTACAGTAAATGTATTATGTGCTGTATGTATTACCACACGTTACAGTAAATGTATTATGTGCTGTATGTATTACCACACGTTACAGTAAATGTATTACCACACGTTACAGTAAATGTATTACCACACGTTACAGTAAATGTATTACCACACGTTACAGTAAATGTATTACCACACGTTACAGTAAATGTATTACCACACGTTACAGTAAATGTATTACCACACGTTACAGTAAATGTATTACCACACGTTACAGTAAATGTATTACCACACGTTACAGTAAATGTATTACCACACGTTACAGTAACTGTATTATGTGCTGTATTACCACACGTTACAGTAAATGTATTACCACACGTTACAGTAAATGTATTACCACACGTTACAGTAACTGTATTATGTGCTGTATTACCACACGTTACAGTAAATGTATTACCACACGTTACAGTAAATGTATTACCACACGTTACAGTAACTGTATTACCACACGTTACAGTAACTGTATTATGTGCTGTATTACCACACGTTACAGTAAATGTATTACCACACGTTACAGTAAATGTATTACCACACGTTACAGTAAATGTATTACCACACGTTACAGTAACTGTATTATGTGCTGTATTACCACACGTTACAGTAAATGTATTACCACACGTTACAGTAAATGTATTACCACACGTTACAGTAACTGTATTATGTGCTGTATTACCACACGTTACAGTAAATGTATTACCACACGTTACAGTAAATGTATTACCACACGTTACAGTAAATGTATTACCACACGTTACAGTAAATGTATTACCACACGTTACAGTAAATGTATTACCACACGTTACAGTAAATGTATTACCACACGTTACAGTAAATGTATTACCACACGTTACAGTAAATGTATTACCACACGTTACAGTAACTGTATTATGTGCTGTATGATGTATGTATTATGACACAACCTCTGGTTGTAATTACACAGGAAACTCTCTCCTAACTGGTCCCTTTAACCATGTGTTATCGTACTTGTGGTGTGTGTATTACGTAACGTTAACTAGTGACATACTAATAATAATAATAATAACTAGAAATGTAAACATCGCTTTATAGCCAAAAAGAACTCAAAATCCTGAGATTCAGTTCAAGCCATCTAAAGCGACTCATGAACATGTACATAAGAACTTAGTGTGTATGAAGTATGGTTTGTATGAGAAAGATATTATATGATACTTATATGAACACTTTTTCAAGTAGATGAGTCTTTAGTCTCTTTAAAAAAAAGACAATATCAGTCAATGTTCTCAGTTGATAAGGAAGCTGATTCCTTACTGAGGGTCCACAGTAACTAAAACCTCTCTCAGTTTTACTATAATTTGAGACAGGAGGAACATTTAGGAGGAAATAGTCTTGTTCAGTTCGTAGCACACGTACAGGTTGACTCTTGATGTCGATGCATTTGGTGATATATAGTCTAGTCTGGAGCTATGTTGTTGATGCATTTGAACACTGTTAGAGTAATCTTATACTCTATTCGCTGTCTAATTGGAAGAAAATGGGCCTTTTTCAGGAATGGAGTGACACTGTCCCATTTTTTAATACCTTGTCTTTTTTTAATATCGTACACAGGAATTTTGTACCTTCTGGAGTTTCTTTATGAGAAAATCGGGTAAACCATAGAGAAGTCCATTGCAATAGTCTAGTTTTGAAAAGATCAAACAGTGAATGAGCTGTCTTTTTAGGTCATAGTTAAGCTTTGAGCCTATAACTCGAAGGTTCCTCAAATGGATGTTGCAACAACTGATAATTGAATTGACTTGATCTTCAAATGTAAGGAATTGATCAAAGAGGACACCTAAACTTTTTACTGTGTGGGATGCATCCACAGGGTCAGCTGCATTGTCAAGTTGTATTGAGTCGACTGGACATGAAGAGTAACTGTTCTTGGTCTGTACTACAAGAGCTTCTGTTTTGTTTTGGTTTAATTTGAGTTTATTTTGGGTCATCCAGCTCTTAATTTCTTGAAAACAACATGTAATTCTCTCTTCGATTGTTGACAGATCTCGAATTAGTGGGTTAAACTCAATGTAAAGTTGGGTGTCATCTGCGTACATGTGGATGTTAAATCCATGTCTCTTTGCAATATGATTAAGCTCCTTTGTGTACAGTATAAACAGAATTGGACCTAGAATTGAACCTCCAATTCTAAGGAAGCATCTCTTTGATCTTGATTTATCAATAGTTACAATGAAGTACTGTGTGTATATGTGCAGTATGTTGTGTTATATTGTGTGTTATATACTTACACTTTACAGCTGGAATAGCTTCTATTTGCTAAAAGTTCATAGGAAACCTCAATTTAGTAGAACTAAGGCAGCATTTATTTACTGTGGTCCTAAAATATAGAATGATACATTGATTATACCATCTTTATCAAATATTGGGTCCTTTATATATCAGCTATTAAAACGTTCGCATTATACTTTATTTGAAGCTTTTAAACATACTAAATGTTCACCAGTGTGTGTTGCGTCTCTGAAATTTCGTTGTTAAGCTGATAGATTCATGAGAGGGTGCATAATTATGTTTTTACCCAGGAATAGTATGAAAACTAGTCTCTCGTGTATTTTCTAATTGTGTACGCGATTACACACCGTTATTTGTTTATCCTAACTTGCCATGAAAATATGATTTTGATTTGAAACTTTTACAAAATAGCAAGTATACAAATGTACAGCAATTCGAACAAACATATAAAATGGGCCGAAATGTATAAATGCTAAAAAGCGTGGGTCAGTGAAACAAGTACAGAGGACAACTTTCAGAACAGGAGTTTTTTGGCCGCCCAAAGTCTCAATAACATCACCTCCACCTAGTAATAAAATTATGAAATGTGAAAAGTGTGAAACAATCAAATAATAATGTATGTATATAATATAATTGTCTCTCAAATACAGATAACGTCCGTTAACTCTTAAAATACCCCTACAAGTACATATTATACTGATCGGTGGTGTCCGAGAAACATGAATTACGTCATCATGGTGTCTTCTTAACCCGGCTACAGACCTTCCCGTTACGGATGTAGTGGTCGAGATGAGTCTGTTCAGCCCTCCTCTTCTTCAGGTCAGTTACCACGTTCTTCCTTGCTGCACGCTCTTCACTGGATCTATCAGGACAGATCCATACATTTTTGTGTGCATCAGCCATCTTCAGTCTCCCTGTTTTCATCAGAATCTGATGAACTGCTGTTGAGCTTAGGACGGTGATCTTGACTGGTCGGATAGCCGTACCTGGCCTCTTCCAGCCGACTCTAGTCGCTTCAAAATGAGGTTTCTCCCCGATCTCCTCCAATAGTGCGGTTACCAGAGCTGGTAGCTGTTCTTCATCCTCTTCTTTCAGACCAAACACTATCAGATTCTTGCTCCTGTCCTCCTCTGCAGCCACACTCTTCATTACATTCTTCAGAATTTTACTGTTGCAGACCGCGCCACTTGTGCTGTTCTTTTGTACAGCTGCACTGTAGCTCTTAATTCCTGTCTCCACCGTTGTTTGTACTGTCTCTTCAACTGACGTCTTAAACAACTGTAGTTGTTCGTCCTTCTGCACTAGCAACTGGTCCTGCAACCTGACCATCTTTTCCTTGTCTGCTAGTGCTTCCGTCTTGAGGCACTCAACGATTTCCATCATAGCGCTCATCTGACTACTCTGCCGTCGTACGAGGTCTGCTGCTTGCATAACCCAGTTTGCCATATACCTTTTATAGATAGACGGAGACATGAGTATTTCCTGGTCCATATTTCCACGAATTTCGAAGTTTTCTAATTTCAGTTCTCTTGCCATCGAAGTGAACCATCTTTCAGTACAGCCCTCTACATCTTCCTTTTCATCGTAGTTGAAATCCTTGATTTTCTTCTGAGATCGGGTCAAATTCAGATCATCCTCCATGGTGTACTTGTATAATAATGTACAATTACACACGCAAAGGCTAACTACGCGGTAGCAGCAAACTGAACTTATCGCTAAGTTACAAAAGATAAGGGAGCTCGATAATTGCAACGTAAGCTACACACACTACACACAATGTAAAGTAATCATCATGAGGAGCCGGGCCCTTTATATAATTTATATAATTTATATAATAATATAATTTATATAATTTATATAATTTATATATTTTATATAATTTATATAATTTATATAATTTATATAATAATATAATTTATATAATTTGTACAATTTATATAATTTATATAATTTATATAATTTATATAATTTGTACAATAATATAATTTATTTAATAATATAATTTATATAATACTGTCCCGCACAGAATACTATACATGATTAGTGAGTATATTATGTGCAATCAGTCACTTTGTAGACGTGGATTTGTTGAGCTTTTCGTCACTGCAATACATTGTGCTTTGGAAATATTTTATCTATTTTTAGTTTCGGATCTATCTGTCGTTAGTGATTTTGTAAGTCTTTTTAGTTTTTACTTTTGGCCATCTTTCAAGTTAGAATTAATGATACATAGAACGGTGCTCATGTTTTTATTCTTCAAATCGGCTGAAAAAAAGTAGACAAAAAAACACGATGTACCCCAACCCACGGTTCCCTCGGCCTCAAAATACTGCTTATACTGCTAGATAGTAAACTGGGCTATATTAATGACGTTCTCGACCCTTCTATATATAACATATGTTACACATATGTGCACATATTTATTGTACCACCGTTATCACTGGACGATGTACTATCAAGTGTACACTGTACGATAGTTACAGTTTGTTATTTGATATTATGTTGCAGCGCATGAGTTGTTGTCGAACTTTTGAATTGTTGTTACTTGTTGTTACTTGTTGTTACGTGTTGTTACTTGTTGTTACTTGTTGTTACTTGGTGTTACTTGTTGTTACTTGTTGTTACGTGTTGTTACTTGTTGTTACGTGTTGTTACTCGTTGTTACTTGTTATTAGTTGTTGTTACTTGTTGTTACTTGTTATTAGTTGTTGTTACTTGTTGTTACTTGTTGTTACATGTTGTTACTTGTTGTTACTTGTTGTTACTTGTTGTTACATGTTGTTACTTGTTATTACTTGTTATTACTTGTTGTTACTTGTTATTACTTGTTATTAGTTGTTGTTACTTGCTGTTACTTGTTGTTACTTGTTGTTACTTGTTGTTACTTGTTGTTACTTGTTGTTACTTGTTGTTACTTCAGTTGTACGGTGCTCTGTTATCTTTGTTTAACTGCCATTATTGCTCACATGTTCAGTTTATTTGTATGATTTATTAATACTGTGTGATCGTTTGTGATAATTTTGTATCGTTTCATCTAGTTGGCTGGAATTGTTCTTCTTTTGTACTACAATCTAGTTGTTGTAGTGGAGTTGTGAAACCATGCTTGCAACTTTAATTACTTTTCACTTCCACTCGTGTCTTGTAGATTACATGTGTTCTTTTAATCGGTAATTAGTTGTACAATAATCGATTATCTTTAAGTTCACATTTAAAATTAAACTAAATAATGCTTAGAAATAATAGACTTTAATAACTTAAATAATATAAATTAACTTTAATAACATAAATAATATACATTAACTTAAATAACTACGAGCTCTTCACTATTGGGTATACCAATATAAATGTACTCACATGTATGTGCATGTTACACGGTTATTGGTTATCGTGTACCCAATTAACTTTTACACCCAAAACTTTTCCGGTCCAATCGTTTTCAGTAATTGTGTAGGATCGGTCAGATTTTCAATGAAATAAATTTATTATTTTCGATTTTCTTTTTAAGACATAATCACAAACATAATTTAGTACCGTACCAAATCCCAATATTATAATAATACCGCCATCTATTTTTACGATTTGTGTTTTAAGTTGAACAATGCAGTGTTACGTAATGTCAAACAACAACAAACGTAATGTAAGTTTGTGAATATATAATAAAAGTGATTTGTCCTTTTTAAGTTTCTCGTTCTACAGAAATTATGTGTGAAAATATTCTTCTTCCATTTTACTGCTTTTACTATAGTTGTTAGAGAGGAGCATATTTACTAATGTATATTTTATAGATTTTACTTTCGTAATATTACGTACGGCTAAGAGGTTTGGTTCGCATAAATTTGGGTCGGGAGTATTTCATCGTCTTCAAATCTTTGTTGTTTTGTTAGTTACTAACTCATTATCAATTTTGTGCTTTACGGGCCGTAATTGATTCATTTTATTCGCTTATTAATAACAAATTGGTCAGAAGGCTTCTTGTGATTGTGATTGTTTTTTTTTTTGTAAATTTTATTTCTGGAAACTTTCTTCTTCCAGTATCCACATCTTGCAGTATTTCTCTCAGTTGAGCTAACTACATACATATCTAAACTGATTTGCTCTTTCGATTATTTTCGTGAGCGAAATTGTGAAAAGTTAAACAGTAAAACAAGTAGACTTGGTTTTTAAATATTCCCATTTAATAACAAGTTCTCAGCAATTGTAATCAGACTTTTAAATTTCCTGTCTGTGGGTTTCACATAGCCATGATAACCAAATGGTGGAAGTTACACTGCCATTACCGTCATACTTCATACATAATTAGCCTAATTAACATAATTACTTTGTGTGTAATGCATTGGAGTGTATTTGTCGTATTGCATGTTTGTTTTTAAAGCGCTCTTATGTCTTGTTCCCTGCACTGGTCGCTATGTGATTTACCCTCACCGTAACGAAGGAATTTTTTTGCGTAATCCGTGAAAACAGTCCTGTACACGGCTTTATCTTGCCATTCTCCCCAGCTATTTCTGATTTAATTTGCTAATTTAAGTTCTGCAGCTAACTTTCCATCTAGAAGGATGGCTCTCCTGAGCCGCGCGGCTACGCGCCAGATTAAAGCACACAATTTCAGTAACAAATAGTATGAAAAGTACCCTATCTTCAACATTTAGCTTTACGCGCGCTCAAAAAGGCGCAATTGTAGAAATTGTGTTCAGCCGAGTATAGAGATTGATATTTGATAAGAGTGACGTGCACGGTTACAATGTTAATAAGCGTTGTGTGGAGTGTCTCTTATATCAATCTCTTTGTTTCCTTACGACCGTCCGCTCTGTACATATCAGACACTACTAATGTCATGTTCTTATCATTATTTTCGTTGCTAAGTTAGACTGGCGTAAAATATTTGGTCTGTAAATCACATTTTTACTATGTAGGAGACTATTTTCGGTTCTTCTCTAAATTATTCCTTTCAGCCCCTAATGCTCCCAAAGGTCTAGATCCTCAGAAAAGGGAGATGTTAGAAGCACGATTTGTCGGAAAGGTAATAAGCGATATCTATTTATAGCCAGACACAAGGTACAATGTCATATATCCATACAATGTATAATTAATCTTGCATACCACAGTGTATAGCCAGTACACTGGTTAGATTTCCTGTGAAGGGGGAACTTGACACTCGTATTTAGCTTCATTAGTTTGGTTGTTGTATGTGATTATGTGGGGTGACTTTGGTGTGTGGTATTGAGTACAGTTTGATGTATTTTCAGAACTCTTCGCCGATTCAGCCAGTCATGCCGCCGAGAAAACTTGATTCAGATTCTAAGGTGCGTTTCAATTCTTTCACAACTCTCAAGTTATATTAATCTATTTTTATTTTTATTAAATTTTAATTAGGCATTCAACAGTTATGTTATTATCTATAACTTAAGATAAATATATTTTGTTCGCTGGTTGAAATTTCCCAATACCGCAAACTCTGAACGTAACCGACCCCTCCCAAACAGAGTTTAGGACTACATGAGTTCAGTGATAACAGCATCTCACAAGACGGTATCTTGTCCCCGGCTGGATCCCTTGCCGACAGGAAACGGCGCCGACTCGACATGGACGGCGTTAAAAGTCCTGGTAACCGTAGCGGTAGAAAGATCAGTGAATATTTCAAGGTATTTTACATCAACTGGTTTTTTGGTAGTTGGATCTCGGTTTACTTAAAATGCTGTAATCGTATGTGACTCCGTAGAAGATAAGTTCTCATGTTAATTGGATAATTAAGAATATGTAGATTTTACCATTCGTGTAATTACATTTCTCATGAAAGGTATTTCTTAGTTTTGTGATTTTATCAGTTTTGCTTTTCCTCTAACAGATTTATTTTCAGAGCAACAACCCCCAACTGGACAATTTAAACGGAAATGCCAGGAAACCAGAATCTGTCCTTATATACTCCGACAGCGTAAGTTGCTTTTTTTACTATTATGTGGCTACGGCAGCATGATCAGAGTGAGAAGTGCAGTTCAAGCATATCAGATAACTGAGGAAGGGGGCTATTTCATAGCAACGATTAGATATTCCGCGGAAAAATTAACATAATACTACTATAAGACTTGCCAAACAATATCCCAACATCATGATAACAGCAGGACGGAGCTGGAGCTAACAATGGGAGACCGAGTACAGGGAACCAGGAACCCCTATATCTGAGAGCGGGAGCTAGCAGCGCTAACGACTCCAACTCTTCCTTTCATTCGAACACTTCCTGTACTAACGAGTCAGCTTGTCAGGTTAGACGGGGTAGCAGGGGAGGGGGGGTACTGCCAGGATATTTGACCGTTAAATCTGTTAAACGACAAGAGATTATATCGTAAAGTTTGGGTTGTACGTGTAGTATTATTTTAGTGTCGTCGGCAATAATTTTTAACATGGCAAAAAAATCATAAAATAATTTGATCACGTGCTCACGTTGATCAATGATCAGTCTACCTGGAACAGGTATGTTTTAGTCCTATGATTTGGGCTATCCGTCACATTGGTTACAGTACACCATATAAACCAGATGTTATACCCCACAGACTGTGGTCACAGCGCAAGACTTGCGGAGATTAGAAGAGAGCAGAATGCCGCCCCCTTCAGAATCATCTCAACTTGTTGAGCTGGAGCTGCGCAGAACTATTGAAAACCTCCAGGTTTGTACCTTTTCTGGGGTAAATTGAAATATCTTGATATATTTTGTTATGAAATTCACCCTGAAAATGAAATTCACTTTTTAATTGGATTATAAAATCAGCTAATGGCTAAACAAGGTTCGTGTTATCAGTTCTATTTAACAGCATGCAGTTCCAAGAAACACTCAATCTTCAACCTTTTCTTTTCAGAATCAGTACAAGCAGAGGGAGGCAGAGTTCACCAGAGAGTTGGAGCAAGAGAGCCACAGATACTCTGAGTGCCAAAAAGAGCTGAAAATGCTCCTCCTCGAAAAGGTAGTTTTTCCCATTATTTGCGACAAATTTTATGTATAGTCTTATGTATAGTCTGTTAAAAATCGCGGTATCGCGATTTTTGGGGAAAATGATCGCGATTTTCTTTTGTCCCTGCATTATATACAGCTAAACTCATATCGCATGCTCTTGTTAAAGATTAAGTGCTATGTTGTACTATCAATGCATATTAAGATCATTGCATATCGTAAATTCACAAGAGTGAATCGTTTTAGACCACGACCATGCTGTGCGGTGTTGGAAAACAAACAACACGTGATTTATTATGTTTCAAGTAAGTTGCTAATTTTTCTTGACCTCAGGTGGACAGATACAGTAAGCAGTCGCGGGAGAGGTGTAATAACAACAAGTTGAGATTAGGACAATATAATACTGTTAGATCAGGAGCTCACTACCAAGAAGACTGGGTGAACGGGTTAGCTTGTCTTTATTGTAATTAATTAATTAATAGGTTAATTGGTGTTAATTATACTGTTTACTAGTCCGCCATTGTGTAGTTAATATTGTAATTTTTCTGTTCACGGACTAATTTATGTTTATTTATGATTAAATTAGTTGGTTTGTAATTCGCATCCTATCACGCCTGATTTGTGACGCTGCATTTCAATTCTTCTACTCTCCGGTCCAAGTAAAATACCTTAACATTTCCTTTCAGTTATGTAAAAGTAAAATACCTTAACATTTCCTTTCAGTTATGCGTTTCGAGAACACAAACAGAGAGTCGAACGATTTAAACAGAACAAAGAGAGTTTAGAAAACGATCAGAAAGTTCTTCGTCAAAAACGTAAGTGCGACGTTATAAATAGTTCAGTCCGAAAATCTTTGTTAGCATCTGATCCCTGTTCTAATGTCGTAATTTTACTATTTTTCTTTACTTAAGTTGGAACGAAACTGAATAATAGCATTTAAGGCGTTGCTTAAGTTAAGATTTTGGCTCAGTTTATTTATTACTCCTAATATGATCTGAACCAGTGTATAATTTAGGTAAAATGATGAACGGTCCGACTCCTAAGAAGGAAAATAAAAGGATTTCTGGGGATGTTACACCGGTCATAGACCAGCAGGAGCTTCACGAAATGGAAGAAATTCTGAAGATAAAAGCTGCTGCACTCAAGAAGGAGGAGCTCGATATTCAGGTGAGCTACTGTGTTCTGATTTGTTGGTTTGTGTCAGGTGAAAGGAACACTGGGTTCTAATTGGTTATTTTAAACCACCTCTAGCTCTTATTTTGTAATAAATAAATCTCGTTTGCTTCGAATATCATTATTTTATCGTTTAATCGATACACTGTTCAGACCGAGATCGAGAAACTGCAACAAGAGTGTCAACTTCACATGAGAGAGAGCAAACGAATACAGGCTGAAAACAACAGCAGGTAAAAGAAGGGCAATGAGTGTAGTGTTATAAGAATGGGTACTGTTTAACCGAAAATAGAAATTAATTCATAACATGACCAAAAATAATTGTGTTACATCATTTTCTAGATTGTTAGTAAAATTGTGTTGCGTTCTCAACACATCATGACCTTCCAGATTTAAAGATAATCCCACCCTGAAGAATGGGCGGTACCTCCTGCTACACTTAATTGGTAAGTGGTAAAGTTACTGACCAGTAAATACCAGAAATTCTTTTAGTTCAAGTTATTATTTACGAGGATTAAGCGTACATTTTACATCCCAATCATACCACCTCGTCCCAGGTAAGGGTGGGTTCAGTGAAGTCCATAAAGCGTACGATTTCGAAGGACAGCGTTATGTTGCTTGTAAAGTTCACCAGCTTGCGAGTGAGTGGAAAGACGAGAAACGCGCCAACTATTTGAAACATGCTGGTATGTACCTACTATTTTAAATTTTAAGTGAAAACTCTAAACTTAATAATGAGGTCTGATCATCATCTTCGTACAGCGTTCGATGTCTGTGTGAAGGTAAAATGGTGATATCCTCTGGATCAGGCAGAGGTCGAGTGTTATCGGGATTATTTCTGTAGTAGTGGAACAGCAATACTAAGGTAATAGTCCCATTACCTTAGTATTGCTGTTCCACTACTACAGAAAACTCTAAACGTATACATTTGGTATACATTTGGTATACATTTGGTATACATTTGGTATACATTTGGTATACATTTGGTATACATTTGTAGTTTTGTGGGAGTAAGTGTAACGAATATTTATCAACTAATTTCTTTTTTTCTTTCAAGAAGTTTAAATTTATTATAATTCTACTTCAGTTCGGGAGTATGACATTCAGAAGAGTTTAAATCACCCTCACATCGTATCACTGTTTGACGTGTTCGAGATAGATCAGATGTCATTCTGTACGGTGCTAGAGTTCTGTGATGGCAACGACTTGGACTTCTACCTTAAGCAGAATAAAAGTGAGCCAGACTGATGATGTCTAAATAATTATAGATATTAAAGATTAGAAGATACCTCTAGATATAAACAAGATAGATGTTTCGATATTTGGATTAATAAAACGCAATTTCAATTATAATTCGTGTAAGAATAAAACTTGTTTAATAAGTCTGCAATTTTACCAGGTGTTAGGGAGCAAGAAGCTCGTTGTATTATAATGCAGATAGTAAGCGCTCTTAAGTATCTTAACCTCAAGAAAAACCCTGTTATTCACTACGATCTTAAACCAGGTTTGTTCGTTATTATTGTTCTTATCTTATTTTGAGTCAAATTGTTGTATTGTCGTTAGTTAGATAACACTAACTGAAAAGACTTTTCGTGTTATTTTGTAGTATCCAATTTTGTTTTTAAAGATCATTCAAGTTCATCAGCCTAATTGTTGATGAATCACTTCGTTTTTAACCCTGTAATTCTCCTTCCAGGGAATATTCTGCTGGTGGGTAAGGGAGACTTTATCGGCAGCCTAAAGATAACAGACTTTGGTCTCAGTAAAATAATGGAGAATAGTCACGACGGTGGTATGGAGCTTACTTCTCAAGGTTAAAACAGAATTAGTGCTTTGTTTTTATTTACTGCTCCTAATATTATATGTTGTCGTCGCATCCCACTTTTTCGTAGTTTCGTGTAAGCAGTATGGTTACAACTCTGCAATTTGTATATTTACTATAATTATTATTCGAATGAATTGTGAAACTGTATCACTAAGCCCGCTTATACATAACAAGCTCAAACACACCTGTCAGTATAATAATTTACACTAAAATAACTGAAATTCCTACAGGAGCCGGCACATACTGGTACTTACCTCCAGAGTGTTTTACAGAGTCACCCAAGATATCCAGCAAAGTAGATGTCTGGTCTATAGGAGTCATCTTTTATCAGGTATTGAATTTAATTGTTATTTATTCAAGTCGATTTTCGCCAGATAGAATCTAGCATTTTACCCAAATATTTCAACTATACTAGTAATTTCAACATTTCTGCAATTTAAAGGGAAAATTTTAACTAGTTTTATGTTTCAATATTTATTTTCAATTCCTCCAAAATTATGAGCATTCAAGCGTTTATAAAGATGAACTTTTTGCAATCATTGTTTATAACATTAAATATCGCAGTGTTTATATGGCAAGAAGCCATTCGGTAACAACATGGCACAAGACGCTATCCTCAAGTTCAACACTATCTTGAAAGCTAAGGAAGTGGAGTTTCCAGCTTCCCCTAAGATATCACAGGAAGCCAAGGTTAGTTTATTGTATATTTATTTATCAACCTTTTCATTGATTATCCCTAGCAGTTAGCACTGCAGTTGATTTTCTGTCATGAATTTCTTACGGGGTACAATTTGTTTAGTTAACGTCTAGTTAACGTAATTATTTAATATCTCACTTTCTGATTAGCTAGAAAAATAAAAGTTTCTTCAAGTTCACCCAAGACGTTTGTAGCGAACTGTTTATAATTCCACTGCACCTCAGACGTTTATAAGAAAGTGTTTATCGTACCACCTCAGACGTTTATAAGAAAGTGTTTATCGTACCACCCTAGACGTTTATAAAAAAGTGTTTATAATTCCACCTCAGACGTTTATAAGAAAGTATTTATAATTCCACCTCAGACGTTTATAAGAAAGTGTTTATCGTACCGGGCTGATCTGAGAGTAGACGTGTTGCAGTTATCAGAAGATCTTTATCTCAAACAACCTCCCAAGCGGACTAAGAGCGAGAAAATGCAGCCCCCGGTTAGGAAATATTCTTACTTCAATTTTTATTTATTAAGATTAACTTGACGTTTCTCATCTAATTATGGATTGCGAAATTTTAAGTAATATGGCAATTGGTCCCAAGATGTGATAAGGATCGCAGTATGAACATTAATAATGAACTAGCACGTGCATTCCATCAGACTGCAATACCAACACCGTTTCAGGTGGTACCAGAAGCGCCCCCATCTCCCATTCCCCAGACAATGGGCACATTCCTTCCTCCAGTAGTAACCAGTAGTCACTCCTAACCCTGCTCCAACGTGCCGCGTTGTCATGACAACCTAAGCGTGCAGCGCGCGCACACCTCCCTACATTATTCATGTGCTCTGAGACGAGAAAAGAGCTGCGAGTGTTAGTTGAAAATGCTTCCCGTCTCAAGTTTACACCGTCAAATTTCCTGTTTTGTACGTGATCATGGAAAATATTTCTTTAATTGCGACAAGTATATTTTTATTGATAACAGATTTTTAAGGCACGGGAAGCATTTTCGATATTGGAACGTGTTAAGACACCCGAACACTTTAGTATGATTTACACAAAGTTGTAAAAGACCATTTTGCTACGTTGCCTAGCGATTTACTTTCTTTATTTACATTGCGAATTTTGTTTGAAAAATTTATATATGTGTGGCGTGAGTAGATAGGAGATAAGAAGGGCGCTACTTAATGACGTCATAAATCACGTTTAATGACGTCATATCTCATGTTTAATGACGTCAGATACCATGTTTTATGACATGAAGTCTGTTTCGTCACGACATCGTTTCTGGTGACGTCGTTATTTGGTCTACAATTTTAAGCTTTAAAATTTAGTAAGTTGCCCTTACATTAGAATTCTCCTTACAGTGAGATAAGTACTTAACTACTACTTCATGATAAAATCCCACGATTTTGAGGCACATTTCGGCTCATCGCAATTTCAACAGATAAGTTTTAACGACATAATTCCAATGTCATGGTTAAGTACATAGTTTGAAATGGTGTTCAATATTTCATTTGAAATTGGTCAAATAGATCGTTTAGTAAGTAGTACACTGCACTACTCAAAATAACAGAGTTACTTTAACTTTTTTTTTAACGTAAAAATCTACGAAATTTTCATTCTCTAAATCACGCTCACCATTAAAATCATCTTGAATTCAAATGTTCGGCAAAATCTATGAACAAATTTGAAATTTCTCACAGGTTGCGTTATTAAATTTTCTGAGAGCCCTCATTAATTTCATTCCTACGATACCAAATAGACACCACATCTCCGAAAATGTAACTAGCGATGAGCCGGTGCCAGTAGAATGGTTTAAGTGCGCTTTTTAGAATGGATGCTAACTGGCAGGTTGACTAGCGGAGTAAACTGGTCCGGGTATTAACTTTATCAGCTGTAGTGACATGCACACGTGATTCCGACTACTCTCCACGTGCACAGAAATTCCGGACTTATTTTGAACCTATGATGTTTGCTAAGATCGTGTTCTGTATGTAAAATTAGGTACTTTTGTGGTTGAGAGCGCGTCGGAATCTAGTGCTGTGTCCACTGAATGCGATAGGTTATGAGAATAGCCTGGTAACAATGGTTTTGATCATTTGAACTGAAAATTGTTGTTTTGGGGTTGTTTGAATTGCGTTCCTTCAAGAAATTGTTTTATTTGTTTAACTGCCGAGACCAAACAGACGTGGGATACATGTTCAAACTTCAGACAATGATTCTCTGTTCTCGTAGTGCACGGATACTGGAATGTTGCGGACTCACAGTACGTAAAGATAAGACAACGGGGCGGACATGAACGTCTGATCACGGACGAAATGTTTGTTTCTAGTAACTTAGTGTTATGAATATATAATTGATATATTATCTCTAGCTCTCTTCAGAGTTCAGCACGGCTTTCTGTGAGTGTGAAAGAGATGTGCAATGTGTAGCAATATTAAGACTACTCTATCACTATGCGCGGATCTGTATTATACGGTATTATACAGTATACTATAATACAGGGTGGCCCATAAGTGACTACCCACACGCAACCTCTTAATAACTCACGTAATTCGTCTCCAAATTGCACCAAAATTTCAGAGATTATAGATATGGGTCGAACTTAGATTTCCTGAAAGTTACGTAAGCCACGCCCAATTACAGTGGGCGTGGCGTGACCCTCCCTCTTTTTCACTATTGTCTTCATAAAATGAGAACGCTTTAAGCTAAGAACTCCACATTTTTTGCACACATTTGGCTAGATAATTTAAAACCTTTCCCAAAGTTTCAAGTTCATTGTTCAAAATTTGGCTGAGTAATGACCATTTCAAAATTCATCGGAAACGTGATCCGAGCACTCAGTCAGTGATCTCTGCACTCAATCAGTGATCTCGTCACCCAATCTGATCAAGAGTAAGGCGTTAGCTGTATTAATGAGGTTCATTAGGCTTTACCAAACATACTGAGGAGATGACGACCTGATCATGATTGATTGGATACCGATAATGACTTTGCTAGACAGGAAAACACCAAATTCTTCGTAAAAGTAAGGTCCTAGGATTCCACGAGAACTGATGGCGCACCAGATCGTGACCTTTTCAGGAAAATCAGGAGTCACGGTCTAAAAGTTGGTGTTTCTTTGTGATCCGATAGGCCCGGTTAGAAAGATCTCGCTTTAGGATTCGTTGAAGGGATGTTCTGCTGAGGTCTAAGGCAGGAGCTCGTTTTCGGGTGCCAATTTTAGGTGTATCCATCACGTCACAAACAACCATGCCATGGTGATGTTTTCTTCGGTCCTCGCAGTTCGTCTTCTGCCGACTCTTCGCCGATCGTTTGCAGAAAAAGTGAACTTGATCTTGTGATGCATATCAAAGCAGCTTTTCCGGCAAGGGGATGGTCGGTTGAATTTCATTTGAAATTGTCGTTTAAGCTGAGGACAGAACTCCCCATTCTCTTTGTTCAGGTAGACAAACAATCGTTGTTCCGCAGTATAGGGAGGATAGTGAACCATTTTCGATAATTCAATGGATAGTTCATTCCTTTTTATCGATTGTAAGGAACGAACCTGTGACTAGCAGGGCTAACAAGCCCTGCAACCAATCAAGCGGTGCATGTGAGCCAAACAGGCCATTAACCAAGTGCAGAGATCACTGACTGAGTGCTCGGATCACGTTTCCGATGAATTTTGAAATGGTCATAACTCAGCCAAATTTTGAACAATGAACTTGAAACTTTGGGAAAGGTTTTAAATTATCAAGCCAAATGTGTGCAAAAAATGTGGAGTTCTTAGCTTAAAGCGTTCTCATTTTATGAAGACAATAGTGAAAAAGAGGGAGTGTCACGCCACGCCCACTGTAATTGGGCGTGGCTTACGAAACTTTCAGGAAATCTAAGTTTGACCCATATCTATAATCTCTGAAATTTTGGTGCAATTTGGAGACGAATTACGTGAGTTATTAAAAGGTTGCGTGTGGGTAGTCACTTTTGGGCCACCCTGTAGTATTAGTATACTGTAGGTTAAAATATTCAACTGAATATCAGAATAGTATTACATGTAGATTGTAGCTGACCATAATCAGTCTGTAATGTAACCTGGCACGTCAGTCCCAATGCGCGGCGCTCTTTTTGAGCTTCTCGCATTATACGTGAGAGTAGCAAGCAATAGGCCAGCAAGCTAGGTTAAGTTATTTTTTATAATTTCTATATGTAGAAATGATCGTAATAATTTGCATATTTGTATAAAAAGGTACAGGAGCACATTTGACATTATAAACAATTTGATACTGTTTAAATATCAAATTGCTCATATCTCTCAATGGGCGAATAGGTAAGGTATTTATTTAAATTTAACCAGCTTACATTAGATAATATGTCGAGAGCTAACATTCAACTTTGTGATCTGAACCAAGGATCCGGTATGTCACCTGAGTATCCAAGATAATGTTCAACCTGGGTAAGATCTGGTCACTTGTTCAAAGAGCGGTTAAACAAGTTTATAGTTACATTGAATATTGTAATTTGTAATTGACTTAAAGGTGGCTACGTGATCAGTGATGCAAGTGCAACGTAGTGGAAAAATGATGGGAGCGTGGTGGTGTTGTTTGTTGCACTTCAGCTCAAAGATCGCACAAGTTTTCAGGATATCAATACAAACTTCAAACAATTCTTACTCATATAGCATCGAATAAGTTTTTGATATTTCCAGGCTCTCAGTCTCACCAACTCAATATAAACTGTTATATATCTTCCTATTAATCTTCCTATATATATATATATTAATCGTCGTGCAGGTTTATTGTATACTGGATGGGATTATGGCTACTGGCCAGATGACTCTCGTTCTATATACGTCAGCAGGCATACTGTTTGTAGAAAACAGGGTATTGAGTAGAAACAACATGATGTGAACCCAGCAGAAATGGCATCACAGCCATACTGCAAACACAAAACAATCACGAGATGTGTACCAGCACTAATATGATAATATTTTATTAATCCAACCGATCAGCTTTTATATAATATCAACATAATTGTGATTGAAATTGTAACTGAGTAATCTATGGAGTAGGATATCTAAATTTGTTAGGTTCATAAATACTTCCTGTAGCAAATTGTCGATTTGCAAAAGTCTCGTGGTGAAAATGGCACAAACAACAACACGGACTTAAAACAAACAAAACATTGGTATTTAATCCGCACACTCTATAAGATAGTGGAAGTAGTTGCAAATCATCACCGACAGTACTGGAATCTTATCTCGTAACGCCAACGGGTTCAATGGGGCCAATGGGCGAATATGTAAGGTATTTAACCAGCTTACATTAGATTATATGTCGAGAGCTAACATTCAACTTTGTGATCTGAACTAAGGATCCGGCGTGTCACCTGAGTATCCAAGATAATGTTCAACCTGGGTAAGATCTGGTTGCTTGCTTTAATAGCATGCTTATCTTCCATTATTAGGACCAAACACAGTATCTGCTGATCCGGAGAAAAAATGCATTTCTGGGTTAAGAGGTTTCTAGGACAACAAGTCCGGAGGTTCTCATATTTCGATCACGTCATCTGATGGTGGGTCACGTGAACACGCTGGATACTTTGTTTCAGATAAAAACGCTGAATGTTCTCAATTTATAATATACATTATAATAGTAGGTTTTGGTGGTTGAATGCAGGACTTCCTTATAAATCAAGTCGCATCAGCAGATACGCCGTTGATTATGATGCAATGTACCCCATTGTATAAGTGTGTATAGTGTGATAGATAAAGATACTGCTAATGGTGAAGTGTACCACTACCATAGTTTTTGAAGAGTAATATAGTGACTTTCTTAATTGTCAATGCTGGAAGCTGATTGGTTGATCTTTGTTAAGTGTCAACAGATATGGCTCGCCTGATCATTGATACTCGTGAAATATTTGTTCCAAATAGACCGTAGATAAGACCGTAAATAAGACGAGTCCAACTCGGTGCACGTTTTGGTAAGTAAGATTATAAAGTCGCCTCCCTACAACACACAAGTAACCAGATCTACTGAAGCTACTCCTAGCTATTCGTGTACATTTCCTTGCACTGCAGTTACAGGATTTATATGGTTATCGGACAGGAAAAGGTTGAACAAGTTTTTAGTTACGTAGGTTACATTTTTAATTGACATAAATATTGATACTGTCAACGTGATGCAACATGGTGCCGGTGGCAACGTAGTGGAAGAATGAATAATGATGGGAGCGTGGTGGTGTGGTTTGTTGTTCGATGATCGCACAAGTTTACAGGATATCAATACAAACTTCAAACACTTCTTACTTCTAAAGCATCGAATATGTTTTTAAGATTTCCAGCTGCTCTCAGTCTCACTATCCCAATATAAACAGTTATAACATATCTTCCTATTAATCGTTGGTCAGGTTTATTGCATATATTGGATATTGGGATTATGGCTACTGGCCAGATAACTCTTCTTCTAGCTGTACACGTCAGCAAGTTGACTGTTTGTAGAAAACAGGGTATTGAGTAGAAACAACATGATGTGAACCCGGCAGAAAGGTATATCACTAGCTGCGATACTGCATACAATCACGAGATGTATACCAGCACTAATGTGATAATATTTTATTATTCCAACCGAACAGCTTTTATTTATCAACATAATCGTGATTGCGAAATTGTAATTAAGTAATCCCATGGAGTAGGATATCTTAAATTGTGAGGTTCATACATACTTCCTGTAGCTGCAAATTGTTGATTTTCCAAAGTATCGTGGTGAAAAATTAAAAAATGGCACAAACAACAACACGGACTTAAAACAAACACAACACTGGTTTTCCATCCGCACACTCTCTAAAATAGCGTAAGTAGTTGCAAATCATCACCGACAGTACTGGAATCTTATCTCGTGACAGGCTTATCTCGTAGTCGTAACGGGTTCAATGAGCGAATGGGTAAGTCTACATTAGATTATATGTCGAGAGTTAACATTCAACTTTGTGATCTGAACCAAGGATCCGGTGTGTCACCTGAGTATCCAAGATAATGTTCAACCTGGGTAAGATCTGGTTGCTTGCTTTAATAGCATGCTTATCTTCCATTATTAGGACCAAACACAGTATCTGCTGATCCGGAGACAACATGGTTCTGGGTTAAAACGTTTCTAGGACAACAAG